TTTCCCTCCATCATTGGGGGTTAAACGAACCAGTCTAGTTCCTTCGACAGTCCTGTTCTGGATTTCGAGATCAGATTCATTAATTGAGTTTGTATTCAAAAGGGAAGGTTCGAAGGTGGCGTTGAGCCACAACTAAAGTAACCAATATGAACCAGCAAATAAAATGTTGGTTTTTGGTCCAAAGTTTTTTAATTTTGTGGAAGCCTCCCCAAGGCTCTCATATAGTCCAGCAAGAATTAGGTCGCTCAAACAAACATTTCGACCAACATGGAGTTGGTTAGCAAAGGTTAAAAATCTTCTAGCAACTTGCATAGATTTGCAGCAGAAGACACATCGAGAAAGCCATAAAGAAAGAAAAGCTATATGTTCTTGATCACTAACTTCGTCTGTTGATCCCAAGTAGTGATCAATATAATTATTGTAAGTGGCAGAAGCATTGCTGAAGTCAATAGAGTCATCAGCATCCAAGGTAGGATCGAAAGTTTCTCCTGTGGGTCGAAGGCCCGTGATGGCAGCAACATCGAAGAGTGTTGGGGTTAACATTCCGCAGGATATGTGAAAGGTGTTATAAGTACTATCCCAGAAGTACATCGAAGCTGTTAACATTAGCTGACAGTATTCAGGACCAAACTTTGACAGATGAATCAAGTCGAAGATTCCCAGGTTTTTCCATGTTTTTGATTTCTCTTTCTCTACCCTAGCTAACCATCCAAGACACTTCTTGTCCTCTTTAGATGGACCTAATCTAAAGGGTCTCAGAACTTCTGTAACAAAGTCTAGCTTAAAGGAGGATTTATTTTGTTCTTCACCCTTTTGAGGAGTATTTTCCTGGGAAATTGTTGCGTATTCTACCCTAATGTTTTCAACAGATTTCTTACTAACCCTAGGTTTACTAGCTATGGATCTAGTCAAGTGGTAAGTAGGAAAAAATCTCTTGAGTTTTGATATATTTGATACATTGAGTATAGGACCCATATATCCTAAGGTATCAGAAGCAAGAGTGAAGGGAATTATTACCTGAGAAGCGTAGATGACAATTTGTTCATTCTCATAGGTGGCGTGGGAACAAATTCTTGATTTCCAATCATGATAGGTATTGCTACTTTGAGTAAAGGATTGAAAGCAACATCATATGTGTGTTGTTTTCTCTTTCCAGACTTTGATTTCTTTTGGGACGCTATTGATTGGGTTTTGAAGAAGAAAAATTTACAGAAAAGTTATTGAACTTTAGAAGAAGGAGATAGGACTTTTGATTTGGAAAAATGCAGAAGATAAATAAAATAAATGGTGTTAAATTTATATGAAGGGAAATTGAATCGTTGTTAATGGAAACAGGGAAGTTAAAATTTTAGTGGGACACATGTAAAGAGATCATTTGCTTGATGAACGGTTTTTGTGAGTTCCAAAGTTAACACTATTCATCATAGCTAATGATGAGATTTATAGATACTCATACGACGATTAGACGTTTGGGAGTCAAAATTCATTATGATAATGACGTCATAATAAGTCGAAACGGTTGAGGAATTGTTCAGAAGGTCGAAACTTGAAGAGATTACAAAAAATATACATTTCTGGTTTCGAAATGAATATTTCTTGGGGGAAATTTATTGGCTGGAAATTTCGACTAAGTCAAAATTGAGCTGAGTCAATGGTACTGAATATACTTGAAAAGTTGTTTGGTTATTTTATTTGTTGGAAACCATGAAGATTTGAATTTGAATTTGATGGATGGTTTATGAAATTCGAATTATGAAGTAAATTATTATTCGAAGTAAGGTATCATTCAAAATTCGAATTCGAATTAAGATATTATTCGAGATAAGGTTCAAAACGTTATACTACGAACGTTATCAGATTTGGCGCTCAAGATGGATAATCGAAGGGTTTTTGAATTCGAATGTTCATTCTTATCCAGAAAGACGCGTGGAATCTCTAGGATCATCGAAGACATGCCAGCGAAAACATTAGGGTCAAAATTCTATAAATTGTAGTTTTTGTGTTTCAATTTAGTGTGTTCACATCTTTCTACAAAATACTCAAATATACTCAAAGTACCAGTGTTAGAGAAACGAATTAGCGAGAATGTACGTATGATACACCATATTTTACAATTCAATGTCATTTACATGAAATGAAGTTTCTTCATATTATTTATGTTCTTTATAATTTCCAGTTTAGACTAGTTTCTATTTTATTACTTTCATAAAGAAGTTCCACTTCGACATACGAAGCGTTTCCTTTCGTTTAAAGGAGATTATCATAAAAAACACGTTTTCTAAATACTAGAACACAACAATCCTGAGATCAATTTGATCGATCTCACAAGTAATTGAATTCGTTAAGGGATTTAGAGGATCATCGGTTGTTTACCAAATTCCAGGATAAACAAATTGGCACGCCCAGTGGGACCCTGTGCCTAGTTTTTTTTTTAATAACCTGTATTTACCAACTTGTTTCATTGCATGAGATTAAGAAGTAGAAGATTAGCCAATACCACAGATCCTAGACTAAAAAGGCAGTACAATAGAAAAATGGCTAACCCTCGTGTTATTGTCTTGCCTAATAAACGCTAGATGAGCATTCACTTCTCTTAATTAATTATAAATTACTAATGATAAATATACATTTTTATTTTATACATCAATATGATATTTGGTAAATCAAATTAAACAATATAATTAATTCAATTAAATTTGTAGTTAATTTAATTGACATCTTGGTTAGACTTAATTTGTAGCTAACTTATAAACACATGTTTAAATATATATTGTTTGATGTGAACTTTCAACATACTTCCTTCCATATGTTCAAGACTAGACATCTTTTTTTATAATCGATGATATATTAATAGATTATTAGAGGTACTCTAACCCGATTATAAAAAAGACCCGAAATAAATTGGGAGACAGAAAGAAAAACTTCATAACCAACAACACCTTAATCAAGACAAAGAAAAGTGTCCTTGCAAAACTCATAAAAGTTAAAGTAGGAGTGAGAAGTTTTACCATGCAAATTAAAGACCACTTCCACAAAGAAAGTTTGATCGACCACACCAAATTCGACAAATTCGCATTAGAGAACCATTAAACAAAATATTGTTTCTAAGATTGCATAAACTCCAAGCAATTTTCAGTCAAACACGCCCTAGCTTACCAACCAAAGATTTTGGTCTTCTAGAACAACTAATGTAACACCCTTCTAAACCCAACAGAATATTCATAATTATTTAAAATAATATCAGAGTAATACAACAAAAGGGAGTCACATTTTATTCGTGAAATAATCATACGTTCTAGTCTCACTCTGTAACACGGGTTTTCAAAATTATTCATGACATATGCATTATCAATGTTTCACATATTTACAGCTGAATCATAGTTCAGAAAAGTTTCATTAAAAACACTTCATAGTACCCCATGATTCATGGTTCACAATTCCATACAATTTAAATTTCATGGAAACAATTTAAATGTCATAACAAAACAAGAACAAAATAGTTTTCAAAACAAAACGTTCCCCTCCCCGATGTTACATATCAGAGAAAGACCTTCTAGACATAATATATTTGAGCAATGTAATTCTACCTCCAAATGATAACAACCTTCCTTTCCAACAAGCTAGTCTAGTCTTGATTCTATGAACTAAAGGAGCTCACATACTAATGCGTATAGGGTTAGCCCCAATAGAGCCCAGAAAAGTGAAAGATTTGTCTTCAATTTTACATGAAAGTAGATGATCTAATAACATAAACTTCATAATTGGTGACACACCATATCTTAAACCTGACTCTCGATACTATATTAAATATCGTGGTTAAGTTTAACTCAACTTAACAAACTCGAATTGTAACGTGAGGATTGTCTCAACTAGGGGTGTTCAAAATCAAATTGGCCCAATAGAAAACCGCAAAATCGAACCAAACCAAACCGAAACCGCAAAAAATCGTATTTGGTTCGGATGTGTTTAGGTCATTTTCTAACGGAGTCGTGCGATTCAGTTTGGTTTGCGGTTTGTATTTTGCAAACCAAATCAAACCGCATTATATTATAAAATCTTACTAACCAATATATATTTCTTTAATTCTTTAGAGAAATCAACATGTATCATGTGTATATTTTATCATATTCTTTGTATGATATTTATTTTAATTTACAAATTATAAAAAATAAAATATTATTCATTTATAAATACTATTTTCACAAAATATATTTTATCGTATTCTTTGTATAATATTTATTTATGAATGCAATCTTATGTATATCATTCTTTAGATTTAGATAAAATTATAATACGCAATTTTATATATTAAATTATAAATTTATTTTGACAATTATAAATTTATTTATGGTAATGTATGAACGATTAAACACAAAATTATATTTTTCTCTATATTTGTATGTATGGCTCAATATTTTTTTTATTTATAAAAAGCGGAACCAACCGAACTAATTCAAACCGTATTAGTTTAGTTTTATTTTTAAAAACCAACTAAACCAAACCGAACAGTATACTTTTTTCTTTTACGATTCAAATAATTTTTTACTTTAAAACCGTTCAAACCGCGCTATGAACACCCTTAAATATATGTTCGTAATATATATGTGAAAATTTTTAAGACACCTCTTTACACTCATAATTAGTGAATGGTGGGTGTTAAATCAGTCTTTGATATCATGTTTAAAAATAAGATTCAATTTAATTCAATAATACAAAACTAGCTTAATCATACATTTCTTAAAGTTTGAAAAATAATTAACAATTTTAAATTAACTCAAATACATAAATTAATTATGATCTAAACATAGTTAACTAAATCATAAATGATCATAAGATATTAAAAATAAAAAAAGTGGACATCAAACCCTTAAATTATTTGGTACGTTTTGTTCAAACACGTTAAATTCTGGAGGGGCCAGGCAGTGCCTTGGCCTCTTATTCTTGATCACTTTTTGAAGAATAAATACTCATTTTCCCTCATTGTAAAAGTAAACCAGAAAATGAGCAACTTTGCTGTTTCTCCTTCATCTTCATCAATGATGCTGTTTCCCAAAAAATACGATGTTTTTCTTAGCTTTCGAGGTGAAGATACACGCGACAACATCACAAGCCATCTTTACGAAGCACTGAAGCAAAAGAAAGTTGAAACCTATATAGACTACAAGCTACAAAAAGGAGAGGGAATTGGACCATCACTCATCACAGCCATTGAAGAGTCACATGTTTCTGTTGTCATCTTCTCAGAAAACTACGCTTCCTCCAAGTGGTGTTTGGATGAAATTGTGAAGATCATGGAATGCAAAAAAGGTCGAGGACAGATTGTGATACCTGTGTTCTATAAAATAGATCCATCACATGTGAGAAACCAGAGAGGGACATATAAGGAATGGTTTGACAAACATGAGTTAGATCTACCGAGGAACAATAATCAGAGGTTGTTCAATTGGAGAAGTGCTCTCACAGAAGCAGCAAATTTGTCTGGTTGGGACTTTCAAACGTATAGGTATATTTATAATTCATTTTTATCTATTTATATTCATTTAATTATCTTATATAAATGATTTTCCATTATAGGATCTATATCAAGTTTTATTTGAACAGGATCATTAATTAACTAATAACTAATTAATACTATGTATATATTTATAAAAAAACTGTCTAACTTACAAACCAAATAAAGTCTTTAATTTACTTAGAGTCGGAAGAATGGAAAAGCTATGGATTTGGATCCTTTCTGTCAATTATTCTCTTAACTTTCATCACACTTTCGGTTAATGAAATTAAAAGAATAAAATAGAAAATATAATTGATTTTTTTTAATTCTTTTAATTAATCACAATTAAAATAATAAAAATAGAAAACATAATAATTTTTTTTTCAATTTTTTTAATTAATCACAATTAAAAGAATAAAATAGAAGATATAATTTATTTTTTGTTATATTTTTAAAAATAATTATTTTATTTCATATTTAAAAAAATAATAATTATTTTAAGAACTTGTTCAAAAAATTATAAAAACAATTTTGAATTTGATTGATGTAAATTTAATAGAGTAATTTTAATATTAAAAGGTTTATATATTTTTTTAAATATTTTAACATAATAACATCAAATATAATTTTCAAACAAACATTTCTTAAAAATTATACTTATGAAAAAATAATTAAATTAGCTTACTATTTTAGGCATATTTTTGGAAAAAAAATATTTCTTCAAAAATATGTAATATTTTACGGAAAACAAACATCTACCTTCTTGTGTTTTTTTTTTTTTTTTTGACTTTTAATTTCATAAGTGTTAAATAAATCTTACCATTGAAATTCAAGTATGTAAAGTTTAAGAAAATAGTTGACCTATAGGATCTAAATTCAAAAAACGAAGGACAGATAATTATCAATTATTTTTTGAAGAAAAACAGTGGTTATAAATAAATAAAATTACTGATTTGTCATATTAAACTTTTTCAACCCAAAACTTAGATAGTAATGATTAAAAATATCATATCAGATAATATATATATATAGCTTGAAATGAGAACAATTATCATTTTAAAATTTAGTTTTGTAAAAATAAATTAAGATTAATTAAATATTTTAATAGAGTATAGCTATCAACTACCAAAATTTTGTTATAATTTCATATTAATTAATATATGATGTTAAATGTAATCATAATTTTTAACATGAGTAGTAGTTGGCACCATTTATTAATAACATAAACAAAAATTTACTATAAATGAAGGTTTTATTTGTTTTTACTTTTGATTTTTCTTAATATACGAGGCCTTATTAAGAAAAACACCCGTTTGAATATGTGACGTTTTCATTATGATATTTGTGATGTTAAAAAAATATACACTTGGTTCAATACTAAATGTCACATATATCATTGCATACGTGTTAACAAAAGTCGTAGAAATAAACAATATATGAAATGTTTACAAATCTATTTTTGTTTAGCATTCATTATTAATCACGGTCATATATGCACAATTTTTTTTGTTTGAAATATACGGTTGAGAATGAAATATTAAAATAGCAATACATAAAATATTAATTTATAGAGAAATTATAATAAAATAATTAAGATTATGTTAAAAATATGATTTTATTTAGTATATTACTACCTTTTTGTATTAGGTTATTACTATGTGTTGAAAGTAATTTATATTTAAAAGTTGTTGTTAGAATCAGAAACTTCTGATGTATTACTCAGAAGTAGTGTTGTTCAGAAATAGTAGAACTTCTGAAATTGTTATTCAGAAGTTGTTATTAGTTAGAAGTAAGAGTTTTTGAGGTTACATCCAGAAGTATGTTTAGCTTCTAGGATTCTAGTTATTTTATTTACTTAATTATTAAGTTTAGTTTGCTTAGTTATTAAGTTTATCTATTGTTAGGGTCTACGTGACAATTTGCTTTGTGTATAAATAGACTAGTGATAGATGTCATAAAAATGTTCAATCATTCTTCCTTACAACTTTATAGACGTCATGCAGAGCTTTAATATTATTCTCTCATACATTTTTTACATTTATTAACTTTGTGCACTAACAAATTGGTATCTAGAGCTTCGGTTCTGATTCACAGAAAACACAAGTGAAACAATGAGGCGTTGTGTGATTGATTTTGGTTCTTGAATTCATGTTGAATCTTGAACAAAATTTGAACAAAATCACATTTTCTGATTCAGTGGGATTGGGAAACACACATTTTCTGATTCAGTGGGATTGGGAAACACTGTGTTTGTGAGATCTGGGTGACTTGCACAAGGTTGAAGATGACCGGAAATGATAGTCTAAGCACCAAACTTCAAGTATTTAATTGCAAAAATTAGAATCGTTGGATGGTTTAGATGCGTGTATTGTTTGGCGTTCAAGATGTTCTTGATCTCGTCAACGATGGTTATGTTCCAGTTGCAGCAGATGCAACAGAGGAACAGAGAAATACGCAGAGAGGTACAAAGAAGAAAGATCAGAAGGCGTTGTTCTTTATCCATCAGTATGTGAATGAGAACGTGTTTGAGAAAATTGTTAATTCGACGACGACGAAGACTGAGTGGGACACACTGAGTAGGTGTTAAAGTGGTGATGCATCAGTGAAGAAGGTGAAGCTTCAGTCTCTTAGAAAGCAGTATGAGAATCTCAACATGATGGACAACGAGAAGGTTTCTGAGTACATCTCTAGAGTGATTCTGATCACTAATTAGATGAAAGCTTATGGAGAAACCATTTATGAACAAGTAATCATTGATAAGATATTGAGGTCTCTTACCCCTCAATTTGATTACATTGTTGTAGCAATTGAACATTCTAAAGATCTGGACACCGTGAGAATAGAAGAGCTACAAAGCAGTCTAGAGGCACAAGAGTTGCGTCTGACTGAAAGAACTTCTGAGAGGGAGGTTGAGCAGACTCTGAAAGCTTCTTTTGTCAAGAAGGACCAGAAGCAGAAAAGACATGGTAGGTCTCAGAAGTCAGAAGTCTTCTATTCTGATGAAAAGAAACATTAGAAGAGAAATGAGAAGTATGACAAGAGAATGGTTCAATGTTACTGTTATAATAGGTTTGACCACTTTGCTAAAGATTGTTGGTCAAACAAAGAAGAAACGAAAATAACCAGAGGAGATTTAAATGATGAACTTGTGCTATTAATGGCTTATGAATCTGATGAGAAACCTGTGAGATTGTCATTTTCTAATTCTTAAGGGGAAGAAGATGACTCTGAATATTTTGACTTTGGAGTGTTTGAATATGAGTCAGAATCAGAAGATGAATCTGAAGATGAGTCAGAATCTGAGGTTTATGAAGATGAGTCAGAGTTAAAAGATGATTTTGAAGCTGAAGACAAGTCAGAATCTGAAGGTGATTATGAGTCTGAAGAAGAATCAGAAGACGAGTCAGAATCTGAAGGAGTTTCTGCTTCTGAAGATGAATCACAACATGAAGGTTCTGAAGATGAGTCAGAACATGAAAGTTATGAAGAAGAGCTAGAGTTAGAAGATGAAGAATCTTCTGGAAACTCTGAAGGTGAGTCAGATGGTGAATCTGATTCTAATTCTGATTTTGATGATGATAAAAAATCTGGTGGTAATCATGTTTCTGGAAGGGAAAACTCTGAAGACGTAGGTTCTGGAGGACAAGCTTCTGAAGATGATCATGTTTCTGGTGAAGGTCATGATTCTGAAGGTGGAACTTCAGAAGGTAGAGGTCCTGAAGACGATCCAACTTCTGAAGGTGGTCAAGTATCTGATACTATTCCAGAATCAGAAAGAGTTTATGAACAAGTTCAGAGGCCACAAAGAATCAGACAGATACCCAGAAGGTTTGCAGAGTTTGTCATGTTACAAGACACTTAAGTAGATTCATAAGGAGAAATTGTTATGTGTGTTCTGTTAGTAGATTCTGAACCTGAGAGTATTGGAGAAGCTCTCAAGAAGAAAGTATGGCTGAATGCCATGAAAGAAGAACTTGAGGCTATAGAAAGAAACAAGACTTGGAAGCTGACTAAGCTTCCAGATAAGAAGAAAGTTATCAGCGTCAGATGAGTTTTCAAGGAGAAATCTACATTTTTAAATGAAGTATTAGAAGTTGTACACTATAGCAAGCAGAAGCAACTTGCAGATGTTCTGACGAAGGATGTCAAGACTAAACACCTTATCCATTTGAGGATGGAATTGGTGTTGTAGTTTTTTGGTTAACTGAATATGAATTAAGGAATGGTGTTGGAAGTAATTCATATTCAAAAGTTGTTGTTAGAATCAGAAGCTTTTGATGTATTACTCAGAAACAATGTTGCTGCAGTAGAGCTTCTGAGGTTATTCTTCAGAAGTTGTTATTAGTTAGAAGCATAAGCTTCTTATGCTTCTGAGGTTACGTCCAGAAGTATGTTTAGCTTCTGAGATTCTAGTTATTTTGTTTACTTGACTATTAAATTTAGTTTGCTGAGTTATTAAGTTTACCTTTCATTAGGGCCTACGTATCAATTTATTTTGTATATAAATAGAATTGTGATAACTGTCATAAAAATGTTCAATAATTCTTTCTTACAACTTTATAACCGTTATTGTAGAGCTTTATATTATTCTCCCATACATTTTCTTTATTTATTAACCTTGTTCACTGACACTATATTATCTTTAATTTTGTTGCATACTAAATCATTGATTTTGTATTTTTTTTAATATTTATTTTTTATTATTAATTTATATTTAAATGACCATTTCTTACAAAATAGTAGTATACAATAAAACACTAAAACGTAAAGAAAATGACTTTTCTATTATTAAAAAGATATTTTTGTATGACTTATAAACTTAAAACATTTGGATTAACGATTATAAACTTTGGGTTAGAATTCTAAATTTTGGTAATAATGATTTTGTTCATGATTTTAAGGGAGGTATTTGTTTTGTTTTTTTAAATGATTTTTTTAATATTATATAGTTGTGTAAAAATAATTTACAAATAAATTTTTAATAAAAATTTCAAATAAAAATTTGATTTGAATAATTAATTTTCAAATATTATTTTAAATATTTTATCATTTTATTAAAAAAAATTTACATATCAAAATTTTGAAAGTATTTCAAATAGATTTTCATAAAAATTATTTTTGAATCACTATTTTTTTTATTTTGTGATTTTAACTATGTTTATCTTCAATAATGTATATTTATATTATAGAATATTAAAATTTGTATTTCAATTTAGAAAAAATAAATATAAAACCTTGTAATATTTTAAAAAATGATATTATAAAATCTAGTTTAAAAAATAGAAAGAAAAAAATTCATTTTTTAAAAATGAAACTAACAAACCCATACTCTTATCTAAGAACACGATTCTTAGTAGTTTGAATTCTTATATTGGTTATTTGCAAATTTTCAAGACGACTCATGGCATCCTTTATCCCTTTTTTAACAAGGTATAGCAATACTTAACCACCACCTCCTCTTAATATTTTTTTTAAATGTTTTTTATAATATTATATAGTTGTGTAAAAATAATTTATAATTTCTTTTTCATAAAAGCTTCAAATATTTGAATAGTTATTTTTAAAATATTAATATTTTAAATATTTCATTTTTTATTAAAAAATTTGAATATCAAAATTTGAAAAAATTACTTAATTTTAAAGATATTTCAAATAAATTTTCATAAAAATTATTTTAGAATTACAACTTTTGGAAAAAATTACGATTTTAATTATATTTTGATCTTCAATAATTTATATTTATATTATAGGAGGTCAAAATTTGTGTTACAATTTAAAAAAAAAACGAATATAAAAACTTAAAAAATAATTTTATAAAATCTATTTTAAAAATATAAAAAAGAAATTCAATTTTTTAAAACTGAAATTAACAAGCTCAATTTTTATGAAATTAACACGATTCTTACTAGTTTGAATTCTTATATTTATTAAGCACACGACTCTTACTAGTTTGAATTCTTATATGGCATCCTTTGTCCCTTTTGTTTAAGAAGGTATAGCAATACTTGAGCCACCACCTCCTCTTAATATTTTTTTAAATGATTTTTATAAAATTATATAATTTTGTGTAAAAAAAATATTTAAAATTTTTTTTCGTAAAAAATTCAAAAAAAAAATGATTTGAATCTTAAAATATTATTTTAGATATTTCATCATTTTATTAAAAAAAAATTTGAATATCAAAATTTAAAAAATCACTTAATTTTAAAAGTATTTTAAATAAATTTTTATAAAAATTATTTTTGAATTACAACTTTTTAAAAAAATTGTGATTTTGATTATGTTTTGATCTTTAATAATATATGTTTATGTTATAGAATGTCAAAATTTGTGTTTTAATTTAGAAAAATAAAAACTTATAATATTTAAAAAAATAGTTTTATAAAATCTATTTTTAAAATTACAAAGAAATATTCATTTTTTAAAACTGATAGCCTTATCTAAGAACACGATTCTTAGTAGTTTGAATTTTTATATTAGTTATAGTGTTATACGCACATTTTCAAGACGATTCATGGCATCCTTTGTCCCTTTTTTAAAGGAGGTATAGCAATACTTGAGCCACCACCTCCTCTTAATATCCCTCCTCTCCCATGAGCTATCTGCTTAAAAAAATTTCTTTTTAATGTTTTGAAGATAAGAATTTTTTATATGAATATAATTAGGATTACGATTTTATTTATTATTTCATGTGTGCTATTGAGTGAAAATAAACAAGATATGTGTTTATAAAATTTATTATTAATCAATACCAAAAACAAAAGTTTATCATTAATGAGATGAAAGATAGTGATTCTCAAGTTTGTTACTAAGTTGATTAAAAAAAAGGACATGTTTGAATGGAACATAAATTATAAAGTGTGACAAAATAAGTCACATAATGACATTTTTTTAATTCTGCTTTGAATCAAGTTTTTTCTTAAAAGTCTCAATGATATTTCTATAATTTTGTCTAAAATCAAGAGGTTCAACATTATTAAAAAATTGAAAACATCATAATTATGCCTCATATCTAGAGGATCACACCTTTTCTCCACTAAAAAGACAAAAGCCTGAAAATTTTGTAGTTATATTATAAAAAAGAGGATTAAACTTCCCACAAAATACACTCATCTTTATAACATATACAGCACTGTCTAATTCTTTAAAGGATCAAGACCTCTATAAGTAGAACTCCATCATCCTCCCATATTCACACATTCATTCAAGAAAAAAATCAAGTGAAGGAAATTGTTATATATATTAGAACTAAAATTATGATTGATTAGTGATGATAGACTCATGATGTATAGGTGTGGATATCCAATGTAGTAGTTCAGGAGTGGACCTACAAGATTAGCACTTCGACTTTTAAATCAGTTACAGAGTCTTAAACGAGTGAAGCTAAAGCATGAGAACATAAAATGTACCTTAAGTCTCTAGTGTGTCAATTGGATATGATGGATATTTTTATTTGGGCTTGATATTTGGATATTTCACAAATTATGTTTTTGGCCGGCTCAGAACAATTCTCATAAGGCTTTCTAGGTGTTTTATCAGCCGATAAGTCTTTTGAAGTTACGACCGACATCTCGTTATCAGTGTTGATCATAAGGAGGAGTGGAAAGGCCATGAGACAGTTGTAGAAGTAGCGGAGAACAAACCCATTAAATGAATTTCTATCATTGAGACGTTTTTCCGATTTTCAGGCACTTCGCCTTAGGCTCATAAGTTAGGATGTGGTACACATCTCTATGAAATTCGAGTGCACTTGAGAAAGCTTTTATTCCCAAGGTGAAATCAAATCGTTAATTTTTAACTTTACATCTATTTTTTTATTTGACTCGTTGCTTGCTTCCTCTATATAAGAGTTTTGTGGTTCTTTAGATGACTTTTTCGCCACTCCTGAAATTCAGCTTCCCCTTTTTAGAGGAATTTCCTTTATTTTAGAATCTTTTGTTGAGTGTTTTCTTTCTTTTGGAATAGAGTTTTTTCACTTTGCATTTATCCTTTACTTTTTTCGTCTGTCATCATTCTCTACATGTACCATTATTACCATAAGTTTATTTTCTCATTTCCATTATTTATTTTCGCTATGACTCATATAAATGATCATCACGTAAACTTGTTTAGTGATTCTAGAAGTAGCGGTTCCTCTCCCTTTGCTACAATTGAAACTTCCACTAGTTTATATTCTAACCTTTTAGTTACTAGTCGTTCTGCTTCAGTTATTATAAATATGCTTTTTAGTTTTGAATCAGAAAGGCTATCTAGCGGTTCTCTTGACATGGAAACTTATTATGGTAGATCTTCCTTCGACACTCTCCTTTTAGAAGATGATGCTAGAAGTGATCGCACAATCATTTTCACGTACGCTTTTTCTACAATTATCCGGGATTCAAATTTTCCTATTTTGGCTTCACCGCATGTGGAGCTTACTGATTTGAACAGGCAAGAAGCTCATCCCTTTATTAGAACTTACTGATCCATCTTTGGTCGGGATCCAAGTGAAATTGAAATTAAGGATCATCTCAAGCTTAAGACTTAGTTTACTAGTTTCAATTGCCTCAAACCACCAAATAGCATTCAGGATGATGAGATACCATGAATAAGTACTAGTCTTGTGGAGTCGACTGATAAAAGCACATATAGCTGGGTGAATTCTGAAATATTGGGAACCCTCATTGCTTTAGATCATCTTGTGGTCGTGAGGGAGGCCAACATAAAAGTGAGCCATCCTTCTTATTGGTTAGTTCTTCCCATAGAATTAGGCAAAATGATTTATAGAAGCTTCGGGGAATGCTTTATCCCTTTCTATGATTTCCCGCTTACTCGGATAAATTTTGCAGTTGCCTATTACCAAAATTTGAAGAGGAGGTGTTAATGTTCTTAAAGATTATCCCTTTGCAGCTTCATACAAATGCTTGGGCTTTGATAAAGGCATTTCAACTCTGGGACAATTAACGACTTTGAAAGCCCTCATACCATCTACCTTTCCACCTTTTTATTATGGTGTACACTTCACTAAATAATATCCAGGATTAAGGGTTTATCTCATTCCGCTAGGACGTTTCCTAGTTTAGTGCTTATGCTGAGAACTATGATGATTGATTGGATCCCTATTTGTTAGTAAAAACTCGTACTTTGGAAGCTTATTCCGCCTTCTTCTAGGTTCCCACTAAGTTACCCGTTCCAGTTGGCTTCCAAGAATTGTCTCAGAGTAAATGTACAGATAAATTTCGAAAGTGTTAGACATGGGTTCATTTTAAATATGATCCTCGTAAGTATGTTGTCCCCTTGGATTCTATTACTATACAAAAGATTAAGATCAAGGATGACTTTGATGTTTCCTATGAGGGTATCTACATTCTATAAATCAAGTTCCTACCAACGCTAACTTGCAGTTTTTTTATAAAAATAGCTTAAATAACTATATTCAACTCCAAATTCTTAAAGTCTTTAGTCACCGAACACCTCCTATAACTCAGCCAAAAACGAGTCATACTTTCCAATAAATTTAGAGAAACCACAAAACCAATCTCCATTAAAATTCCTCACTATACCACAAGTAATTATATTTATTTTACGCACAATCACACATACTATATATTTATATTGTATTATTGATTCTCTTCATATATTATTTGATAAATTCATTTTAGCAATAGAAAGCAAAAATAAATAAATAAATTACTATTCAAACCATTTCTAGTAACATATATATTTACTTAAAAAAAATTATAACTTGATAGCACTTTATTCCTTTTTATTTATTTATTGAATTGCTATTCATTTGGCTACTCTTTTTTTTAACCATTTTTATGCTAGGTCTGAATCTCAATTCATAAAAGACATCGTTAAAGATGTTTCGCAACGACTGAATCGTGTAAACCAATTCGAATTAAAGGGGTTTGTTGGAATAGAGGAAAACTATGAAGGAGTTAAATCATTATTGGAAATGGACTCAAAAAAAGTTCAAGTGATTGGTATATGGGGCATGGGTGGCATTGGCAAAACCACTCTAGCAATTGCTTTATATGCCAAACTCTCTTCTCATTTTGAAGGTCATTGTTTCTTAGAAAATGTTAGAGAACAAACAGAAAAAAACAGTATCAATTTCATGCGCAACAAACTTGTTTCAGAGCTCTTAGAGGAAGAAAATCTCCATGTTAATGTACCTAAAGTTGAATATCTTTCTGTTACCAATAGGCTTCGACGTAAAAAGGTTCTTATTGTGTTGGATGATGTGGCTAACTCTGAACAATTAGATGAATTAATCATTGATTATGATTGTTTAGGACTTGGAAGTAGAGTGATTGTAACTACTAGAGATAAACATATTGTTAGCATTGTTGATAAAATTTATGAGGTGAAGGAATTGAACAAACACAACTCTCTTGAGCTTTTTTGTTTGAAAGCATTCAAAGCAAAGGTTCCTAAAAGTGGATATGAAGAGCTCTCAAAAAATATTGTTGCCAATTGCAAAGGTAACCCTTTGGCTTTAAAAGTTTTAGGTGCACGGTTGCATTCGAGGAGTAAGCTAAAATGGAAAAGTGAATTGGAGAAGCTTAAGACGATTCCGGACATAAAAATTCAAAATGTGTTGAAATCGAGTTATGATGATTTGGATGATGATCAAAGGAATATATTTCTAGACATTGCATGCTTTGTCAAAGAAGAATCTAAAGATCGTGTAACAAATTTGTTTAAAGCTTATAATTTTTTCCCCGATATTGGGATAGATGATCTTGTAGAAAAGTCTCTTGTAACAATTTCAAATAAGGGTACAATACAAATGCATGACTTAATACAAGAAATGGGTTGGAATATCGTTCGTCAAGAATCTCCCAAAGATCCGGGGAGTAGAACTCGATTGTGGAAACCAAATGAAGTGTATGATGTCCTGAAATATAATAAGGTTAGTAAAATAGTTTTTTTTTTTTTTTTTTGTATATTCGCGTTCACTTCATGTAAATTTAATTTATAGAATGTAACCACATTGTCTAATATGAACTTAGATTTCTTACAATAGATATATGGTATAGTTGCATGCATCAAAGTCGTCTATAAGGGTGTGCATAGAAGCTAATAGGATCACGTAAATTTTGCCGTAGTCCAACTGAGGCTAACTTTAGCTTCCTATACATGTTTCTCAAAAGTTTAAGACGGCCCTGACATGCACCATGCAACTTCCATAGAGTACTCATATAGGGTCTAATAGCTATCTTAATACTTTTTACGAACTATTGATGAATTTTCGTTTGTCAGGGAACTAAAGTTGTAGAAGGCATAACTTTAGATGTGTCTAAGATTGAGGATCTACATTTGAGCTCTGATTCCTTTACAAATATGTTTGAAATGAGATATCTTAAATTCTATTATGGGAAGAAGAATGAAACAAGTAACATATATCTTCCCAACGGTCTGGATTCATTGTCTGACAAATTGAGGTACCTTGAATGGCATAGATACTGTCTGAAGTCTTTGCCATCTAAATTTAGTGCAAAATTGCTTGTAGAACTTTTGATGCCTTTCAGCAACCTTCAAAAGCTTTGGGATGGAGTTCAGGTAATGAATGTGTTGGAACACAATTTGTGTAAAATTTCAGTTACTAATTCTACATTTATGTTTTTTTTAGGATCTTGCGAATTTGAAGGAAATTGACCTTAGATTCTGCAAAGAGCTAGTTGAGATTCCAGATTTGTCTAAGGCTAGAAATTTGGAATGGTTATCGCTTTCTCAGTGTAGAAATTTGCACGAAATCCATCCCTCCATTTTGTCACTCAACAAGCTTAAAAATCTCGAATTAGAAGGTTGTACAAAGATCGAAAGTCTAATTCAAATGGACAACAATCATTTAGAATCTCTCCAAAACATCCAACTTAGCAATTGCTCATCATTGAAAGAATTTTCAGTCACTTCAAACAAACTCGAGAAATTGTGGTTAGATGGTACTATTACTATTCTTAATAGAAATCATTGACGATAATTGTAATTACCCGAATAAGTGCTATAAGACTTGCACTACAAGAAATTTAACTTGTAGTGACAGCAAAATCAGTCACTATATGTCAATTTCCGTAACTAATTAGTGTGACTAATATTTTACAGGTACTTCTATCCAAGAATTGTCCCCGTCGGTTTGGTGCTGCGAGAAACTGAAGATGATTGATCTACATAACTGTGACAATCTTGTGGGTTTTGGGGACAACATTCAAAACTATATAGGAATTGGATCTCTTAATACTATAGTCCTTTCAGGGTGCAAAGGACTGAATGCATCAAATCTTGGTTTCAACGTCAAATCATGGCAAGCAACTTTAACATCACTGAGTTTGGAAAATTGTTGCAACTTAGAGACACTCCCTGATAGCATTGGTTTATTATCATCATTACAATGCTTAAAACTAAGCGGAAGCAATGTTGAGAGTTTGTCCCCAAATATCAAAAACCTTAACAACCTTAAAGAGTTAAGGCTAGACAACTGCAAGAAACTAGTGTCTGTCCCGGAGCTTCCTTCGTCGTTGCGATTATTTAGTGCTATCAACTGCATTTCTCTAAAAACAGACCTTACTGCATTGGACATAGCCTTTGAACATAGACCTAAACCTCAACCGTATCCTCAGTCAGTGTTCTTCCCTGGTGCTCATGTTCCCAAGAGATTTAGCTATAAGGGTTCAACTTCTGAAGTAAATATTAAGCATCTTCCAGAATCTGGTTTATATGGTTTAGTTTTTTGTCTTGTTCTTTCAGGGTCAAATGATAAGTATGGAATTGTTCAATTTTCTGTTAACCAAAATACCAAAAAAATAGGTGGAAAAGCTACCTCATTGCGTAATCTGCATTTGGTTATGGATCATGTGTTTCTTTGGTATTTGGACATTAGGAGTGGTGCTAAACACATTTCTTTGCATAGCCAAATCGAAGAAAGTGGAGCATGGGATAATCCTTGTGATATATCATTTCAATTTTCACTTGAAAATGAGGAGGGAGAATGGTCAACAAAGAGGATAAGAGGGAGTGGAGTCTTACCACTTTATCACTTACAAGAATCTTTGGAGACCAACGATTTGCACCTCGAGCCTAAACCCGAACTTGAGCTAGATTCTTGTGATATAATATCCGAGCTAGAAAGTTTATTATGTGATAGTTACATGTCTTCTCCCATGTGCACTGACTCAACAACTATTTCAACACTTCTTGAAAATTTAGATACTCTTTTGGAGACACCACTTGAAATTCTCTCTTCAGACAATGAAGTGAAGCAAAAGTTCCATCAAATTTTGGAACAACTCGGCCAATTTGAAAAACAAATCCCTGCTAAGCTTCATCATGTCATTTGCAAGTTAAGAACTTTCACTGAAGGGGTTGATGTAAGATTTGGGAGTGCTCAAAAAACTATCCAAGATTATAATCTTCTGCTTCAATCAAGGACTGATATATCGAAGCAATTGGTAAGTGTCAAAGCTCGAGAATGCCAAAATAAATCGGAAACCTCTCGTGGTAAGAGAGAGTTTGAAAGGATCAATTCTGAGATTGTTGAACTAGAACAGAAGTTAAGTGGTCTTGTTGAGATTAGAGACAAGTTGAAAAGAGAATTGGAGCATTGTGATGTGATAGATAAAAACCTTAAGACAGAAGTTGCACAATGCAAGAGTGTGTTATTAAATCTGAAAGAGTCTGAGGTTTCTTACAAAGAGGCCTTAACTAATAAGAAGAAAGTTGAAGATGAATGGACTGATTTGAAAAAGAACTTTGCTACCAATAAGATTTGATATCTCAATTCATGCATATCTTAAATATTTGGTTATTTTGTCAAACTTTTTGTGGAGACACAATGAACATTTGGTTATTTGTGTGTTGGATTGTAATAATTGATGCTATTCATCAACTTGATTAGTTAGCCCACACTTCATTATCAATGTATTTTGTCATTTTCGTTTGTTTCATTTCTAATGATTTCATGGATATCTTTTTCACAAGATTTTTTCTCATGTGAATATAAGTGTTTCTCTACCCTTATATTACAACCAAATATCACCAAATATTTAGAAATAGAAAATTTAAAAATTACTCTATTTATCTCATTAAAAAAACAAGAAACACTTGAAATACATGCATCAGGCAGGTGAATTGTCTCAACTTCAATTGTCTACCCGCCTCACAACACTTGTTGGACAACTTGCGGATGAGGCATATCCAAAAATGATGAATTTAATTAAGATTTTAAGACACACTTGCGGTTAAGGCATATTCGAAAATATTGTTATTTTTGTAAATTATGGCAGTTGAACCGTCATAATAACACTTTCATAATCATTATAATTATCTTATTTATGAAACAACATTAAAAATTTAATTTATAGTTATTGGAACTTCGGTAATCAATTACCACCTTTTGATAATCAATTACCACACGAAAAGTTGTCTATTTTCATCATGAAAATTCAATATTTTGAATGACAAAATTTCATGAAACCTTTCAAACATTATTCATCTATTCATAGATATTCCTAAAGATATATAAGACTCTATACATTTGAAAAACATCTTTATCTCTTTTAATAATAGTCAGTGGGATATCCTTGCTTTCGCACGGATATCAGTATGATACGCGTATTTATTTCTAAAATATAATAAAAATAAAATGATTTTTTTAAAAAAACATAATAAATCGCTGCATGTAGTTCTTCTAATATATAAAAATATTTGAATGAATAATATATTTTTTATATATAAATATTATTTTTGTTTTGAAATTGTTGTAAAAAATATTTAAATCAATAGTAAAGTTGTTCTATTAATATTCAATATTTTGATCATTAATTTCATGTTTCCGTTGATATTAAATTAATTTATCAATAACTTCATGTTCTCATTAATGTTTAATATTTTGACCAGTAACTTAATATTTCTGTTAATATTCAATATTTTGATAAGTAATTTAATGTATTCAATGTTTTGATCAGTAATTTCATGTTTCCTTTAATATTCAATGTTTTGATCAGTAACTTTATGTTCCAGTTAATATTCAATATTTTGATCAGTAATTTCATGTTCCCGTTAATATTCAATATTTTGATCAGTAATTTCATGTTCCCGTTAATATTCAATGTTTTGATCAGTAACTTCATGTTCCCGTTAATATTCAATACTTTGATCAGCAACTTCATGTTTCCCTTAATATTTAATATTTTGATCAGTAACTTTATATTCTCATTAATATTAAATATTTTGATTAGTAATTTTATATTTCTAATAATATTCAATATTTATATCAGTAACTTCATGTTCCCATTAATATTCAATATTTTTATCAGTAATTTCATGTTCTCATTAATATTCAATATTTTGATCACTAACTTCATGTTCCCGTTAATATTCAATATTTTGATCAGTAACTTCAAGTTCTCGTTAATATTCAATGTTTTGATCGGTAACTTCATGTTCTCGTTAATATTCAATATTTTGATAAGTAATTTAATATTTTGATAAATAACTTCATGTTTATGTTAATATTAAATATTTTGATTAGTAACTTCATGTTCTCGTTAATATTTAATAGTTTGATCAATAACTTCATGTTCTCGTTAATATTCAATAATTTGATCAATAACTTTATGTTTTCATTATTATTCAATATTTTGATCAGTAACTTCATGTTTTCGTTAATATTCAATATTTTAACTTCATTTTACACGTCACGATATCTCATTTGCCAGTTTTGAAAGTATGACAATAGTTTTGATTAAATTCTTAAATTCGATTTGTGTCGAAACCATTCTTTAAATTCACTTCGTTTTTTTTTTACTTTGAAATTTGAAAAAGTAAAAATTCAAAACTTTGCACCTAGGGAATATTAAACACATAACCTCCCGTATATATAAACTTTCACTCAGATTATTTATAAATTTGAAATATTTAATAAATCATTCAATTTAGAATTTATTTGAAAAATATTGATAGTGTAAAGAAGTTTTACACTGTCGGTGAATGATAATCGTTAGATTTTAAATTAAATTTGACTTTTATTTTAATTAATAATAAAATAATATTTATGAGTGATTGTGATACATTGATAGTGTAAAACTTTTTATATTGATAGTGCATAACAATTAATCTCTTCAATTTATTAATATTAATTGTTTAATAATAGAATTAAGTGAACCATTGAGTAAATAAAGGGAATGTGAATGTGTCAATTGGATAAATGACTTTTTTTTTTTTGTAGAATGAAAATTCTATTTAAAAAAAGGGCTGGGATAAAGATTAATGAATGATCTCTAATCACATTTTTAATCTTTTAAAAAAATGATAATTAAATAATTTAACTATTAGCTAACTCCATTTAATTTATTCATTCCATTCCTCTTTGATATCGTACCAAATTTATACACATGAAAGTAAATAATATTTGGGGTTTAAATATTGTAACCTCATTGCAATATTATTATCATTTTAATATGAGAACTTGATTTACTATAAATAAAATAAACTAAATAAAAAATTAAAAATCTCATAATAAATTAACAATAAATATTACTAAATAAAATAAAGTAATAAATAAAAATTTCAAAAAAATAATGTTCTTTGGAATTAAAATGCAGCAGATATTGAAAATAAAATATGCAGAAGCAATGAGGCATTTAATTAATTAGCAATAAATGAAAATGGAAAATAATAATGTGTAACGTTTCAAATTTTCTCTTTATGCCTTAAAAAAATTGACTTTTTATTTTGTCTTAAATAACACTTTTAATTTTTTGAACACCTAAATCCTTGATCTCAACTAAATCACCTAAATCCTTGATCTCAACTGAATTGACTGGTTGAACATTAAAAGTAGTGGACTCTGATAGTTCCTCAACTTTAAGTATAATATCCATAGATTGTTCACTTTGTCCATCAACATTTGACATCGATTCATCCTCTAGAGTCATATAAAGGAATTTTCTCAATTGAGTATCTGTATTCAACAACATAAACAAAAACTTATAAATCAAGATATCACAAGAAATAGGAAATGAAGTAACCATGCAAAAAAGACCAAGTAAAATTAGAACAAAGGTTTGGTATTATTGAAGTTATATATACGATCTCAGATAAAGAAGAAGGAAATAGATTGGTTAAAAGACTTTGAATTGCTTTTATTTTTTATATAATGATCTGATACAAAAAGACTAAGATCAAAAGTGGAGTAATATTCAATCAAGCACAGGTTCCTGCACAAGGATTTTAACATTGTGGAGTCTAGGAGTAGGGAAGGATTAAGATAAACAAAGATATCCAAGTTGTGTTTGTAACAAATAAAATGAAAGCTGCCTTATAGAGATTAATACATCACAGAAAAGAATAAATTATAAATTACCCGTCATCATCATCTTCCCATAGATAAGTATCCTCCTGCTAAAAAATTTTCCAACATGAGGAAGAATAGATGATTAAAACTAATAAATAATCAATACAGAAGGGAATGAAATGAAAAAAAAGGGTGTAAGATCAATTTCAAAAAGCAGATCATGGATGCCACAAATATAATTTGTGCATGCATTCCCAGTCGAAGGGATATTTTCATTAGTAGTATGAGCCACATTCTCAACATTGACACTTTCGACATTGATGGGGTTCCCTTCCTTTTCTGTAAGGTTCTCTCTCTCGGCAGTTGCAGGATTGTCCTCTTCTTCGTTTTGTATGCCTTCCATTTCTGTTTCAACTTCGTCATCAACAACTTCTTGTTCCCCCTGATCATCATCAGCAGCCGACGAAGTCCTCAGGTTAGCATGTTGCAAATTCAAATCTTCCTCACTAAGAACCTCATTATTTTGTTCCTCAGTGACTTCAACCTGTTGGTTCGAAGTTTGGTTCACTTTACTGTTTGAGCTTAAAAAAGATTTCTTTGCTGAAGAAGACTTGTGAGTAGGATTGCCTTCGCTGTTTATTGGGATAGTTGAATCTTCTGCAGGTTTGGAAGCCTGTCTAAAAGTACCAACAATATCCTGAAGATTAAGATATTGTTATTAGAATTGTGGCAAAATGATTCAAAAAGAGGTCTTCGATGGTCAAAAATATTACCTTAGGAGAAACTTCAATACCAGGTGTCGAATAGAAATCTCAAAGAATAGCTATTTCTCCTTGCGTAGAAACTGACATTCTTGGGAGGCAATTTGTTAGCTCCTAAATTCGACACCCATATATATTGGTCTTATTGACTAAAAATAGATTGAAGAAATCTAAGCTGAAGATAACACTTCAACAGAAGAGCCTATAAAAGGGGTGGTGTCGAAGTCTTCCTTGCTAAGAAGGAGAAAACACTTAGAGAATTTTCTAAGTTAAAGGTGGTCTTCGACTGAGAGGTCTTGTGGTCTTCGACTGAAAGGTTCTTGTATCAGCAAGCAAGTGAATTTGAATTCGAAGAAAGAAGAAAAAAGCAATTCACTTGGCAGTTAGGAAAATTAACGTGACATGAAGATAGGGATCGAAGGACATGTAGAGGACACTTGTCCTCATCCTGGATCGAAGCAACCGTTCGACGATTATTTACTACTAGTATAAATATAGGAAATTTGTATAAAATTTTGTATGTTCAAATTATTAGTACAAGTCACTCAAATTTATTCAAGTACCCGCTGTGTGAGAAAGAATTTTGAGAATGTACGTTTGAATCATCATATCTTAATTATAGTTAACCCTTTACATTTCTTTATAGTCCTTGCCATTTAACATTCTGCGAACTTTACCATTACAACCCTTTTAAATTACTGTAACTTTACTTTATCTTTCACTTTACTTGTAACTTTACTTGCATTTTTATCAAGTTTTTACCTTCATCTTGCCTTTACTGCGTTTTTACCAAGTTCTATCTTCATCCTGCCTTCACTCTTAGTATTTTGTCAAACATTTTCATTTAAAACCTATCCAAACTCACGAAACACTTAGCATATGTTCTAAGATCAAACTGATCGATTCTGTAAGTAACCAAAATAACCTTTTTGGAAGATCAGCGGTTGTTTACCAATTTTCACGGTAAACAAGGCTGCACTGAGGAAGTCTCTATTGTATGCTGGGGAAATGATCAAACTTCATTATCCGCTAGGGGACCTATTGGGGATGACGATCAGGTCAAGCTATCCATCAGGGATATGAAGGTGAACTGCTAGATCATATTAGATTTGTTGAGGAATATATCTCTGTTGAGGATGAACTTGTGAAGATAGCTTTGTAGAGATAATTCCATGGAGATTGCCCTGCAGAGATAGGTTTTAAATTTGAAATTGAGATTGATTGCATTGATTAGAAGGTTTGCCTATAAACAGACAGTTTTATACAAAGAGAAAAAAATCCTAGTAAGAGGAAATCATCATAAAAAGAAAAGAGGTACAAAGAAAAGCAAAGAAAAACAGCTCTGTGGAAATACTTCCATCGAGTTTCAACTCTGCTATTGCCCCTATATCTTCAAGCATCTCATCTCACGCTGTTGGAAGAAGTTGATTGAATTGATCTGTACCATTTGAACTTGACGTCGATAATTATGCTAGTTGTAAGTAGATGGGTGATCCAACGAGACATAGTCGTACGGTTTAATCCCTAACTTTTGTCTGGACCACCCTTTCGGGTTTTCAGTCCACCGAGATATCCTTTTTTATCCAAGCTGCCCTTTCAGGTTTTCGACTTGCTGGATGTATATATATATATATATATATATATATATATATATATATATATATATATATATATATATATATATATATATATATATATATATATATATATATATATATATATATATATCCCTAATTTTTGCCCGATCCATTTTGGTTCGTCGGGGTGTCTTTATTTTTTCCTAGACCTTTCAACCTAGCGGGTCTCTTTTATGCATAGTATCTTTTGACTATATCCGCGTTCACAGGGTGCGAAAAATCTTCATCGTCCATGGTGGTAAGTATCATAGCACTGTGAGAAAATATCTTTTTGATTACAAATGACCATTCGTATGTGGAAATCCGTTTGCCCCTAGGATCACCTTGTGGTAGGATGATATGCTTTATTACCAAATCACCAGCCTAGTACACCTGATGTCTGACTTTCTTATTAAAGGTCTTGATCATGCGCTTTTGATACATCTGACCATGACAAACAACTGCAAGTCTTTTCTTATCAATCAAGTGGTCCAGTCTAGTCTGAATCCACTTGTCTTCATCTAAATTTGCGTCTTTCATAATCCTTAAGAAAGAAATCTGAACTTCGATAAGTAAGACAACCTCCATACCGTAGACTAGAGAGAACGGAGTTGTCCCCGTTGATATACGTACTGAAGTACGATAACCATGAAGAGAAAATAATAACATCTCATGTTAGTCTTTGTATGTCACTGTCATCTTCTGCAAAATCTTCTTAATATTCTTGTTGACGGCTTCCACTGCGCCATTTATCTTTGGTCAATAAAAAAATTACTAATTTTTATTTTATTTTTAACATCATTCTTAAGAGCTAACAATCATAATACAATAATTCAAAAAGAAAATGATTTAAATAGAAATAATACAACATATATATTACATGTAAACAAAACATAATTCATATATTATAATGATATTTAAAACTCAAATAATATTGTGATAAAGAACCTCTTTAATTAACTTATGAAAATTAATGTATGATGATCCTCTCAAATTAGTAGCTTTTGTAGCTTTCCTTTTCCACTCCAAACACTCGCGTCTAAGTTCTTTTCCCTTTTCTCCTTCCATCATTTCCATCACAATTTCTGTTATCTCATCTCTTTTCACATTGTAGTTAATTTCCATCCCCATTCTCCAAGTGTTACATAAATATCTGCAATTTGTTTGTTGCTCAGCAAAAAATGGCCAACAAATAGTTGGCGTACTTGAAGAAATAGCTTCAAGTGTAGAATTCCAACCACAATGAGTTAGAAAAACTCCAATTGATGGATGAGCAAGAACTTGGTCTTGAGAGCACCAACTAGTTATGTATCCTCTATCCTTAACTTCATCTAAAAACTCTTGTGGCAAACTTGAAGTTTCTTCACCCATTACAACATCTGACCTCATTATCCATAAAAATGGTATCTTGCTATTTGCTATTCCCCAAGCAAATTCTTTCAAGTGATGATTTGTCATAACAGTTACACTTCCATAATTAACATATAAGACTGAGCTAGGTTTCCATTTATCCAACCAATTTATACATTTTGGGTCACTTTTCCATAAACTTGAACCGCTTGCTTTAAAACCATATTCCTTCTCTGGAAAGTTCCTACCAAGCATGTGAAGGGGACCAATGCTATATATGTTTGAGTTTTTGGCTCTAAGGGTGTCGAGAGCTTCACCTTCCAATTCTTCAAATGTGTTAATTATTATTGTTGACGATCTCAGACAATTTTGTGCTTCAGAACCTTGGAAATTAAACATAATATCATTTATATCAGTAATTCTTATGAAGCTTGGTAGATCTTTTAATCTGATATCTTGCATTCCTGTAATCCAATTTAGACTTGTTTCCAAGGTGCCATTTTCTGCAAAATTTTCATCTAAAAATTTGACAAAGTAAGATACTATAAACATACTTTGATTAAAATTTAAAAATATTTTTTAAATAATAAAATAATGTTAAAATTTAAAGATCAAAGAATAGAGAGTTTCAGAAATAATTTAAATCAAACATAAAAATAAAGAAAAGAAAAATTAAAAACAAGACAAAATACAAACCAAAAGAAAAGAAAGAAACCAACCAAACATTGATCAACACAAATTCATACCAAAACAAAATAAGAGGAAGCCAACACTCTAATGTAATTTTTGTATGTATCTAGTTACTCTTTTCCTTGAGACAAGGAAATGAACTATAAATAAAGAAAATTGTGTAGATAATGAATAACAAGCGATGTAAACTCTGTGCAATTTTGCTACAAAATCTATTTGCAGGTCAGGGAAGATGTGTAACTGGATGATGCTACTTTGGGGACTTTACAAGTATTGTGGCAGACAAAAGTTCTTTCTAAAGTTAAAATTTTCTCGTGGCGACTATTGCTTGACAGATTGCCGACCAAAGCGCAACTTATCAACAAATCAATCATTTCCAATGTTGTAGAAAACTTGTGTGGATTCTGTTCTAGAAATGTAGAAGACATTTACGATTTATTGTTTCTATGTCAAATCTCTATGTCACAGAGATGGAGAATAGAATCAAAGGTGGAGATTGAGACTTAAATATATCCTTAGCTCCCGTCCCACCTCATTGACTATGACCTATAGACTAGACTTTTTTAAATAGCAAAACTTTTATATAAGATTATTTAATTAAAAATGTTAAATAATTAGATATAAAAAAATCTTTTGAAACTATCAAACTGACTTATTTAAATATTTAACTGATTTATTTAAATAAATATGAATAAACTATAAATGTAAAACTTATATTTTGAATTTTTCAGTAAAATAAGCTCAAGATTGAAAAGTCTAATTTGACTCTACCTATTCCCAATCCTAAATTTAATAAAATCCCAATCACTAAATTTATTAGAACAAGAAAAAAAAACTCTTCTTAAATATAGACATAACTTAATGGTGAATTGTGAATGTGAAGAACAAAGTTTTATAGGTGGGTTTTCTCTCTTATTTGTCGAAAAGTTTTCACTTGAATATTGTGTGTTCAGTTCTTTTATTTTCATCCTTTTTCATCCCTTTATTTCTAAGTGTTTTCATTTTATTTTTATTTTGGTATCTAATATCTTACTATTTTTAAATAAATTTCAAAAAGATAATATATTTTTTAAATTTTTTATTTAAAATAATAAAAATTTATATCTTTTCTACCATATTTAAAACTTACATATTAAATTGACACATGCTTGGATATGTTTAAGTTGATGAGAAGATGAAGATATCATAATTTTTTATCTACATACCACTTTTTTACCAATAAATTTTTATACTACCATACATTTCAACACATATTCCTAATATACCATGTTTTCAAACAAAAAGAAAATTAAAATAAGAGGCTCCGCCCATTAGATTGGTGGATGCTCTCTAAATTATAAAGCTTTCGCCCATTGGATTGACGGAGCTGTTATAATATCGTTTTTTTTAATATAATATTAAATTATACAGTAAACACGTTAACACTCTTCCGCTCATTGGATGTGCGGAACCTTTAAAAGTTATAACACTTCCGTCCATTGTTTTTGCGGATGTTAAATATTTTCGATAGTTCCGCCCATTCACGTGGTGGATGCTTTGTCACAAAAATAAAATTTATTTGAAAACATGGTAGTATGAGAATATTGATTGAAGAGAATGGTATAGTGAATTTTTTTTATAAAAAAAAGGTAAGACAGTAAAAAAAATTCAAGATATCACTTATAAGAAAGAAAGTTTATTATATTTTTATTAATGAGTCCTTAATTATAATACAAAGAAATAGTATCATTAGAAATGGTATCATTAATAGGTCTCATTCTAAAAAGCAATAGTCTAGTGTGAAAGAAAAAAAAAAGCCAAGAAAATATTGGAAATTAATTTAGTCAAAGTTATTGGAAATGTAATTTCTTTAATGTCCACAATTCCCAATGCTTTCTCTTAGTTAGAGTCTTTTGGCATTTTTCAATTACTAGTATAAATATGTTATCTAGGCTATCAATATTGTATCCCTCATTCATCCTCTATTTGAATACAAGAAGTAGTCCTCTTTGTTTTCATTCATTGTTCATTATTTATCTCTCCATTTCATTACCTTGCACCAACAAATTGGTATCTAGAGCTTTCGGTTCTGTTTTCCTAGGAAACACGAGTGTTTGTGAGCTGTGTGTTTGAGTTTTGTTCTTTGATTTTTCTGTTGAAATCTTGAACAAAATTCTGATCAGAATTTGATTCTGTGGGTTGGGAAACAGTGTGGTAGAGATCTGAAAATTTGTGCAAGGTTTAAGATGAGTGGAGACGGTAGTCTGAGCACTAAACTTCCAGTTTTTAATGGCAAAAACTGGAACAGATGGATGATACAAATGCGTGTACTGTTCGGTGCACAAGATGTTCTGGATCTGGTTACAGATGGTTATGTACCAGCTGCAGCAGATGCCACTGAAGAACAGAGAACTGCTGAGAGGCTGATGAGAAAGAAGGATCAGAAAGCTTTGTTCTATATCCATCAGTGTGTGGATGAAAATGTGTTCGAGAAGATTGCTGATTCAACAACGTCTAAAGAGGCGTGGGATTTGCTGGCGAGATGTTACGGTGGTGACACAGCAGTAAAGAAGGTGAAGCTTCAATCCCTACGAAAGCAATATGAGAACCTGAACATGAAGAGCAGTGAAAAAGTTTCTGAATATATCTCCAGAGTGATTCTGATCACTAACGAGATGAAGGCGTGTGGAGAAACTCTGACGGAACAGGTAATCATTGAGAAGATTCTGAGGTCGCTCACTCCTCAGTTTGATTATATTGTTGTTTCTATTGAACATTCAAAAAATCTGGAAACCATGAGAATAGAAGAGTTGCAAAGCAGTCTAGAAGCACAAGAGTTGCGTCTGTCTGAGAGAACTTCTGAGAGAGAAGTTGAGCAAGCTATGAAGGCTTCTTTTGTCAAGAAAGACCAGAAGCAGAGTAGACGTGGTGATAGATTCCAGAAACCAGAAGCCTCAACTTCTGATGATAAGAAGTATCAGAAAGGAAAGGAGAGGTATGACAAAAAGAAGGTTCAATGTTACTCCTGTAAACAATTGGGCCATTTTGCCAGAGATTGTAGGTCAAACAGGGGTAGGAAATCAGAAGAAGCATATATAGCTAAGAGAAACTCTGATGATGAACCTGTACTACTAATGGCTTCTGACTCTGATGAAAAATGCTCAGAAGGTTGGTGGTATATGGACACTGGTTGCTCAAATCATTTAACTGGAAACAAACAATGGCTGACAAACTTTGACTCTGAAAAGAGTACAAAGATCAGATGTGCTGATGACAAATACCTTAATGCAGAAGGTATGGGAGATGTCAGAATTAGAGTGAAGAATGGGAAAGACATTCTGATCAGAGACGTCTGGTATGTTCCTGGTATTAGAAGCAATCTGATGAGCGTAGGTCAGCTGATTGAGAAAGGTTTTTCAGTTGTTATGAAAAACAATCTTCTGACGTTGTATGATTCCAATCAGAAGTTAATTATGAAGTCTGAACAAGGAAGCAACAGAACATTCAAGGTGAATGTTGAAACAGCTGAAGCAACGTGCCTTATTGCAGAAAGTGCTGAAGGTAACAGTAAGCTGTGGCATAAGAGGTTAGGGCACTTAAACTATAGAAGCTTAGGGCATCTATGTTCTAAGAAGCTCGTACGTGGCATTTCGAAAATTGTGAAGCCTGAGAAGTCATGTGAGATATGCATGAAAGGTAAGCAACCTAGATTGCCGTTTACATCAGAAGTAGCCCCCAGAGCGAAACATGCTCTGGGAGTAGTACACTCTGATGTGTGTGGACCATTTCCAGTATCTTCACTTGGAGGAAACAATTATTTTGTGTCTTTTGTGGATGAGTTCACAAGAATGACATGGGTAACACTTATCAAGTTCAAGCATGAAGTGTTTACTGAGTTCCAGAAATTCAAGGTGAAGGCTGAGAAGCAGAGTGGTCAGAAGTTAAAAATTCTGAGAACAAATGGTGGAGGTGAGTATAACTCTATAGTGTTTCAGAAGTTTTGTGAGGAGAATGGAATAGAACATGAGGTTACTGCCCCATATACTCCTCAGCACAACGGTCTTGCTGAAAGAAGAAACAGAACTTTGCTTGATATGACCAGAAGCATGCTGAAAGAGAAAAAGTTACCTAATGTGCTATGGGGAGAAGCTGTTGCCACATCAGCATATATTCTGAACAGGTGTCCAACGAAGAAACTAAAGGAATTTGTTCCTTTAGAGAAATGGACTGGAGATAAGCAGAGTGTCAGTCATCTGAAAGTGTTTGGCTCTGTCTGTTACAAACACGTTCCAGAAGCTAGAAGAAAAAAACTTGATGATAGAAGCAAAATAATGTTACTGGTGGGGTACCACAGTACAGGTGCTTATAAGCTTTATTGTCCAGAAACTAATAAAGTTGAAGTCAGCAGAGACGTTGTGGTGAAAGAGTCTGAAGCATGGGACTGGAACAAATCTCAATCTGATTCTGGTGTAGTGCCAACACCAGAGTTATCCTCTGAAGTTGTCTTAGAAAGATCAGAAGAAGAATCTGATTCTGAAGATCTTGAAGATTCTGAAGAAGAGTCAGAAGAAGATTCTGGCAATAGATCTGATTCTGATCCAGATGCTGATGATGATCCAGAATCTGGTGGTAATCAGAGTTCTGGAAGGGAAAACTCTGAAGGTAGTAACTCTGAAAGTAGTAGTTCTGGTGCAGCTTCAGAACAAGCTCAAAGACCACAGAGAATCAGACAAAAACCCAGAAGGTTTGCAGATTTTGACATGCTGCAGGATAATGACGTTGACTCTGAAGGAGAAGTCGTTCAGTGTGCCATGTTGGTAGATTCTGAACCAGTGGGCATTGAAGAAGCTCTCAAGAAGAAAGAATGGCTTAATGCCATGAAAGAAGAACTTGAGGCAATAGAAAGGAACAAAACTTGGAAATTGACTAAACTTCCAGTTAAGAAAAAAGCCATCAGCGTCAGATGGGTTTTTAAGTTGAAACTTAAGCCAGATGGTTCCATTGGCAAGCACAAAGCTAGACTAGTAGCTAGAGGTTTTCTTCAGAAACCTGGGCTAGATTATTTTGAGGTATTTGCACTTGTAGCCAGGCATGAAACAATCAGACTGGTGATTGCCTTAGCTGCAAACAGAAATTGGCCTTTAATGCACCTGGATGTGAAGTCAGCATTTCTGAACGGTCCATTATAGGAAGAAGTCTACGTGTCACAACCTTCTGGATTTGTGAAAAAGAATCAGGAAGGGATGGTATACAGGTTAAATAAGGCTCTGTATGGACTGAAGCAAGCGCCTAGAGCTTGGAATCTGAAAATTGATTCATTTTTCAAGAAGCAGAGCTTTCAGAAATGTGAGATGGAATATGGAATTTATGTACAACACTCTGATAGCAATATGATTCTGGTGTGTCTCTATGTTGATGACATCTTGCTGACAGGTAGCTGCCCAGAAGATATAAAGAAGTTCAAGGAAGTTCTGATGAATGAATTCGAGATGACATATTTCCTAGGAATGGAGATTATGTACTCGAAGAAGGGTATCATTCTACACCAGCTAAAATATGAACAAGAACTTCTGAAGAGATTTAAGCTGCAGAACTGCAAAGTTGCTGTGACACCATCAGAAACCAATCAAAAACTGGATTCTGACTCTGATGGTGATTCTGTTGACTCTACAACCTTCAAACAGCTGGTTGGCTCTCTAAGATATTTATGTAATACTAGACCTGACATTTGTTATGCAGTTGGATTGGTCAGCAGATTCATGAGTAATCCCAAGTGGTCTCATTTTCAAGCTGCTGTCAGAATTCTGAGATATATTAAGGGAACTCTGAGATATGGAATGTTGTTTCCTTCTGAAAGAAAGACAAAATCAGAATTATTAAGTTACTCTGATTCTGACTGGTGCGGAGACAGAGTGGACAGGAGAAGTACCTCTGGATACTTGTTTAAATTTCTGGGAGGTCCCATTTCCTGGAGTTCTAAGAAACAGCCTGTTGTAGCTCTGTCAACATGTGAAGCTGAGTATATCGCAGGTGCTGTAGCTGCTTGTCAAGCAGTTTGGCTTCTGAATCTCCTGCATGATTTAAAGGTTGAGGTTGAGGAACCTCTGAAGCTGATGATTGACAATAAATCTGTAATTGACCTTGCCAAGAATCCAGTGCTACATGGAAGAAGCAAGCACATTGAGACGAAGTTTCACTTCCTCGGAAATCAGGTTCAGAAAGGAGTGTTAGAAGTTCTGCATTGTAGCACTCAGAAACAACTTGCAGATCTTCTGACGAAGGCAGTTAAAACAGATCAATTTCTTTACTTAAGAGATGAAATTGGTGTTGTCAACTTCTGATGGATTGTCTAAATTAAGGGATGGTATTGGAAATTAATTTAGTCAAAGTTATTGGAAATGTAATTTCTTTAATGTCCACAATTCCCAATGCTTTCTCTTAGTTAGAGCCTTTTGGCATTTTTCAATTACTAGTATAAATATGTTATCTAGGCTATCAATATTGTATCCCTCATTCATCCTCTATTTGAATACAAGAAGTAGTCCTCTTTGTTTTCATTCATTGTTCATTATTTATCTCTCCATTTCATTACCTTGCACCAATAGAAAAGTGGTCCAAATATAATTTTATGAACATTTATAAATTAGATATGAAATAAGTTTGTAATCAAAAACAAAAATGTATCGGTGTGTGGTGTTGGTTGTCAACACATGTGTCGGCAAAATATTTCTAGTTGAATAATATATAGTTAGTTTAATCATCATAATACTTTTCATACAGCCGACCTATTGGACCTCAATTTCTTTGCTTTCACCCTTGATAATTTATTGACCAATTTGCTAGATTTTGAAAAATAACACACGTTTTGGTTCAATTTTTAATTTGTTTCATTGATAAAATGCAGTATGAATAGTAAATACCTTTGAATGGAAGAATGCCCCTTTTGACAAGTTCATCAAAATACAAATATCCCAGAAATCCACAAGCAGAAGCTGTCCAAAACTGTAACTCTCGAATCCCCAAATCCTTAGCCACTCTTCCAGCAAATCCCGATAGCCCATCAGCAACTACACAACTAACTGGAATATGTGATGATGATGTGTTGAGCTTAATCACAAGCTCTTTCAATGGAGCATAACAGTTATTTCTAACTGCTTCACACAACGGTTCAACTTCTTGTGTTGCGTCTTTATCTGATTCTGGTAAACCATCAGGTATGGTTTCGAATTGAAAATCTGGGAGACCTTTCACAAACTCTTCTCCAAGAGATTTTATCAAACGTTTGTGGTTGAATTCAGTGTTCACAAAGGTTATGTGGAAACCGTTGCAACGGAAGAGTTTTGCTAGTTGCATCATTGGGATGATATGACCCTGTGCTGGAAATGGAACAAATACAGCATGAGGTTTTTGATTATGATCATGAGGAGGATTAGATTCCATTGAAATTGTTTTGTTCTCTTTTGATATGTTTTGTGGGTTCAATTTCAAATATCAACTCTCTCAAAACTATACTTTTTTTGGAACTAGAGAAGAACTAGAGAACATGTAAGTAGTCTAGTAAAACGGCGGTGGTTAAGGATAATGTTCTTTACTAAAAGGATGTTGAGGATAACGTTAGAGAATATTCAAATGTGGGTATAATAATTATTATTCTTTTGGCAAAAGATATTCTAGTTCCTTTCATTCATTAATAAACTATTAATTATTATAAGAGGATCAAAGAAAATTTGGAAACAAACCTAAAAAGTTGAAGATATGTGATTGTGACTATCTAGTAATATTTGTGACATTGCAAAGCAATAAAAAACGCAATTTGCTTCTTCTTCATAAGCCTAGTTTCCTAAGCTTAGTGTACGAGGATCAAGATGTTTCAACCACAATGAAATCTCCATGATCAAAAAGTTAAAAGAAAATGAAATTGTCAGCAAATTTTCTTTACTATACTAACTCGATACGAGGAAGTGAGCGAAACTTTTGCACAAGCGAAAAATAAAATTTTATGTTCGACGTATTGAGATTTTGGTTTGAGATTTAGTGAAATTTCTAAAGGTTTAGAGATTATTAGTTTGATAAATAAAGGATATCCGATTGAAGCAATTTTAAAATTTGACTAAGTAATTATTTTTTTATCTTACTTGAAAACGCTAGGAGATACGTGTCATATTTTAAATTTGTCTATCTTATACATTAAGAATTGAATTATTTCATTAATATTTGTTTGTAATCAGGTTACTAGGTACACATTTAAATAAGTCTTACATTCTAGATGGAGGTGTATATATCTTGAATTGGTAATAGGGGATGTAATTAATTGGGTTTAACAAATTGGTGTGAAGTGTGAACCCTCTAGAGGGGAGAGGTGTATTGGCTAATAAAAGGGTGTATGTTTTGGGGCCTAACTACCTCATGTTTTTGGAGCCCAAGTCAATAGAATATTTTTGGACTTGTTTCTAATTTTTCTAAAAACTGACCGAGTCAACTATCATTGTGTATAATTCTGATTATTTTTTATTAGTGATTATTTATTAATACTAATTATTATTATTCATTATTAGCCATTGTTATAGTTAATATTATAATTCTGATTTATTATTATTAATATTACTATTATTTTTTATTTTATTATTATTATTATTATAAATTTTGTTGACCAAGTCAACATTAGGGTAAAAATCTAATTCTCAAAAGCTGCGTCCAATTTGTCATCTTCGTCCCCAAGGTACCCAGGCCTAGAATTTAAACAAATTTTGGATCAAATATGCAGCCAAATCAAATTGAATCTGTAATTTTATTTGATTTTTTTTCGAATTTATACAATAACAAGTCCAAGTACATTACAAAATTCGCAAACCCTAATCTAATTTATAATAAAATAAAATCTAATCCTAAATTGATTCTGATTGAATCAATCATACAAATCATACAAAAGTAACAAAAATCACTAACTAATCCTAATCTAAACCTATAACTGCTAAAATCCTAAGACTATAAAAGGGGCCCTATGCTATTGGAATCAGGACAAACACCACAACCCTTGAAGATTCTGGATTGTTGTTGCTAAAACCTTACACCATTCACCAAAGCTCTTCTCGGTAGAAGACTTAGGTTTCACGACTGAAACCCTAAGTCCTTCAGAGCTTAGCCTCCAACTCCGTTATCTGCGAAAAGAAAGAAGAGGGGGGATTAGAAGGAGAAGAAGAAAATACCAGAAGAGGAAATTACACGAAAAGAATCATTGCATGGACGGTAAGTCTATTCACTTAGCTTAGGGTTTATATTTGGTTGATGTTGATTGGTGTTGTTCTTCTTTGTTTTCTGTTTAGATTGGGGTTTATGGGTTTTGATTTTGATTTAGGGTTAGGGTTAGGGTAAAACATGTTAGGGTTTTGTGATATGGGTTAGGGGCGAACAATTTAGGTTTGAATGATTCAGTTAGGTTTTGGAAGTAAGGTTTGGGTTTGGATGAAGATTTCTAGGTTTAGGTTATGGTTCGTTGGTTTTTTGTTGAAGATCATGAAGATCTGGATAGGGTTTGGTTGAATATATGAAGGATTTTCTGGGTTTGGGTTGCGTTTCTGGGTTTTGGTTGAAGGTTGGGATGAATGTTGTTGTGTTTCTGGGTTTCTGGGTTGGTGTTAGAATGAAGGTTTGAATGTGGACGGTGGTCCACAGTGGTTTTTCTGGGTTTGGTATGAACACCACCGGCGAAGACGACTTCTAGCCGGTGGTTGTAGGACGAAAACTTATAGAGAGGTCAGAGCCTCTCTCTCTAAGTTTGTAACATTGTTGTTTTTGTTTTGGCTAGAGAGATAAAAAAGGACGAAAAATGAGCCTGAAGCTTATGTTTTCGCTTTTATAATGCTCCCTCCGTTCTCAAATGCGCGTCAGGTGGCTCCTTGAGACTCCCTAGATAAGGTGACCGTTGACTGGTCACCTGCGCTTGTCCCCATCATACTCCCCATCAAACATACAATCTAAGCCCTAAATCTTGCATACTGCAGATCAAGGGCCTAAAGTTGAACTTTGGTGCCTCTTCTGATTAGAATCAGAAGCGCCAGATTCCATTTGCTTCACCATAACGCATGCACCTCTTCGTACAAAATCCAAACGAACCCAGATTTATTTTGGACCTTGCCACAAATTGTCTGGGCTAAAACCCTTTCTAATCACACCCTTATTTTTACTAGCCAGTTCAAAATTACACCCCCAGGCGCTTTTGGACTCATAATTAATGTTGGGCTTAGGCCCTTCAAATTTACACCCTATGGAATTATTATTTGCACCCCCTGCATAATTTTAATATTTATTTAATTAATTAATTTTTTGTTTTGTTTATTTTATTTACTTTATTTATATATTATCTCATAACATTTTTTAGTATATTGCATTAAAATATTTTTGTGTATTTTGTCATAAAATTATTGATAAATAAATATTTAATTAATATTAAAAATATTAATAAATTTTTAATAATAATAAAATAATCATTTATTAAATATTTTCTAAAATACTAACCATATTTTCTTTATATTTATCAAAGATTTTCATCATTCAAAACTGGTTTTTACATATTGCATTATGAATTCTAAAACAGCTAACCCATTAAATACTAACTTCTTTTTCTAACTTAATTCAAATTTAACTTATTTTCAAAAAAAAAAGATTGTGGATATATTTTATATTAACTGCGAACTACGTCTACGACTATGCTATTTTCAAACCCATACAAGGTTCAAGGAGAATTCAAAATATTTCCATAATCCATAAAAAAAAACTAATCACACATTTGAACTACGAAATTAGACTTTGATTCTTCATAAAGAGATATGTAGGCACATGGTTAAAATCAAAGCGAGTTCACAACTAAAAAATTAAACTCGTTTCTCAAATATATTTAGAAACATTAACTACTAAGATCCCATCTTACCCTTAAACCTAAAAGCAAAATCCCTTGAGAACAAGGGAGATGAAGGATGTCTAACACCTTTCCTTTGTCTAATTGACTTGTGAACTTAGAACTTCTAAACAAATAGGGTTATCTGTTATTTCTCCCGTCCTTAGGATAAAAATTAATGGTGATAACTCTCTATTTTTTGTCGGTTACAACTATACGTAGAGATAAATCAGAGGCAAGCAAAACATGCAAGTATGACGTGTTGAATGGAAGATAGTTAAACGTTAGAAAAAGTTATTTTTACACACTTTAAGTACCCACACATAAGCGGGAAAAAAGTCTCTACAAAAATATATGAAACTACCCACCAATTTTTACTTATGTAAATAAAGTTATTCTTTTATTTTTAAATTTGTTTATTTCCTTCTTTTCAAACTATCAATTCGACCCAATCAGATTGTTGTCCCTTTTAACTCTTACTTGCATTTTATTTAACACATTTTTCGACACAATTGACACTAAACTCATGATAACTTGAATGCACTCTTTCCAGAAAAAGCACACAATATGCCCCAGGATTTACTAGTTTGGTCCTTCATACAATAAATTTAAAAAGTAGTTTGGTCCTTCATACCAAAATCACTAGTTAACAAATTGGCACGCCTAGTGGGACTGTTGTGCAATTTCTTTTCTATTTATTAAAAAGTAGTGTATCGTTGTTTTTGTTGTCAGTTATTTTTGTTGAAAAAATGTTTTATGCGTCTGAACTTGTATGCGTTTGAGAAATGGCAGAACTCTAGTCGAAATGGTTCACCATAGGAATAATTTACTTCCCTAAAACAACACCCCAGGCACTGAATAGCTCATCGGTTCAATGGTTGTAGTGACACGGACTTCCAACCCCCCAGTAACCAATGAACTTATCCTTACCAAAATAATAAATATAATGTCGTTTCTAGGAGTGATGGTCGCATGTCATGCGACAACAAGAATTCTGACCATTCTTATGGTTACACTGGCTGATATAGGAGACCTTATGCCTTTTTATGATCTAAGTCATACATTACCACAATCCTCTAGGGATTTTCCTTATGGTATATCGACCATAATAATTATTGGGTTACAGAGCCACACATCAGTGTTTGTAGTTAAAAATGCAACGATAGCACCCCCTTTGAATTCATATACAACATCAGGTTTCGCTATCAGCAACCCTAGTCAAATAACACATCCAGGAGGGATTGGATTTTCCCCTCCAAATATGTCTGCTTTAACTAAAAATTCCATGATGTTCGTAAGACAACAAATGGATGAAAGCAACCACGAGATGGTTAATATGCTTACCTAGAAAATTGGTACAATGTCCAACCCCCTAATTCAGAACACTAACCAAAGTTACCAATTATTGGTTAATCAAATTGTTTAACCCCCTAATTCAACATCCTATATGGATCTTGACTTGTATACAACTTAAAGCCAAACTCTTCTGCGTAATCTTTACTTGGTTCAGGTTTCTTGAATCTTCCAGCTTCAGCAATTTGCTCAC